CATGACAACAGAACAAATATTTTACATGTTTAATCAATAAAGGAAATATACCCCAAACCACTTTGCGTCGTGTTTAATGAGATTGCAATAAAAGGGGTGAAGAAAGGAGAGCAGGTAAAAATGCATCATCTGCCCAATGATCGCTTCTCTCGCTCCCTTATAGAAATGAAGCAGTGTTGCAAGCTCTGACTCCATACATGGAGACAAGTGACTGAACCGCCGCCACACACGAGTCTGGATTTGCTGCTTCCTATTTACTACATATGTATAAAAGGACATTTACTGGCCCCATGTGGGAAACTAGACAGTAATTATTTAAACATGTTAACCGAATGTAGAGCTCAGACAAGTCACAATGGCCCCCATTTAAAAAGGCTGTCTGTCTTTTAAAGTTTGTGAGACATACATGTGAATGTAATCAGCTTAACGAAATATAATATTCAGTTCAATTGTTTTACAAACCGTGTTGCTGTTATAATTAGACAGCCTCTGCTTCCTTCTTAGTAGTGTTGCAAAGTGATTGTCTTTTACTGTTTCTTTCATCTCTTTATAAGTCTATAAGACAGGTCAAAGATTTAATAAGTAAATCACTAAAAACTGTCCACTCCCCGCTTGGTTTATCCTGTAATAGCTTTTATCTCAGCAGTCATTTGGCCAGGATGGGGATAGAACAGTCTGATGCACAGAATTACATTAGATGCAGAATCTACAAATCTTTATAAAACGGCTGCCCCAATAATGCAAGGGTTAAATGCTTGTGTAGATTTAGATTGTAAGCCCTCACGGGCAGGGCCCTCCTTACCATCTTGTCTTAAATTGTATTGTCACTGTAATGTCTTCCTTATATTGTAAAGCGCTGTGCAAACTATTGGCGCTATATAAATCCTGAATAATAATAATAATAATTTAGAGGACTTGAGTAAAGCAGTTTTACCTGATACCCACTCCCCCAGCAGTTGGTGCTCTCCTCATCTCCCCTATGTTCCAGCTTGTGGACTGTCCCTCAGCATTCTCATGTACAATGTAATGCTATGATGGGCCCTGCATTGTACTTGATGATGTCAGCGAAACTCCGCCCCTCTGGGGGGGGGGGGTGCTAGAGCAAACGCCTCCTTCTCCTACTAATGTGGTGAACACACCATCAGCTCCTAGAAAGGCTCTGACCTTGTCCTCCCTGCTGCTCCCTACAAAAACTTGGTCACAGACGCCACTTAACCCCTCCAGCTATAACCTTGTTGGTTATATCTCACTTGCATACCAGCATTATGGCAGATCATAAGCGCAAAGGAGTTCCTTATGGTCTTTCCTCATCACTTAAGTCCACACCTTGGGACTCCATTCCATTGGGCTTCCAAATCCTCCAAGCTGGGGAGCAAATACTCCTCACAATGAGGAGACGTCCACAGTCCTCAAAGTGCAGGGATGTCTGTTAGCCCTTGCAGGCACCTGAACCACATTTCGGATGCATGGGTACAGAAACATGGTATCCAGGGGCTACAAGCTAGATTTTCAGACTCTACCTCCTCCCTGCTTCATGTTGTCAAACTTGCCAATGTCTCCGCAAAGACTAGCAGACCTTCATGCTGGTCTGGCACAACTCCATGCTCAGGGAGTCACAGCCATCAACTCTCAGGGGGCTCTCTCAGATTGCTCCGATCTGTTGTCCCAAGGATCATTCTGCCACGCTGCTTCACGGTTGGCTGTTGAAGCCTAGATCCTAAGAAATAGAGGTCTATTCTATTCTATTCCTACACTCCCAGAAGCTAGGAAATCCACTTCTCGCAATGTCTGCCATTGCACTTGTAAGGAGTACTTTGCTGGGTGCGAGGAAATACTCCAGGAAATACTCCGTGGGATTCATCCTCACCATTTTGCATTGTGTTCTGAATCAACATTCTTGCCTTAAGCATCATCAAAGGTCAAATCTGTGCTCTAGTGATTCTCTTTCAAAGACTGCTTGCCTTTTATTCGTTGGTGAAAGCCTTTGTACAGGGTGTCACTTGTATAGTTTCACCTGTACGTCCTCCTGTGACTCTGTGCAATCTCAACCTGTTCTGTTGGTTCAAAAGCTGCTGTTTGAACCTGTCCGGGATATCCCTCTGTCTATTCTCACCTATAAGGTAGCCTTTTCTATTCGCCATCACCTCTGCAAAGCAAGTTTTTTTATTTATTTAATGGTCCTGTCTTGTAAAGAGTCCTTTCTAGTTCTACACAGAGACGAGGTTTTCTTGAGGCCTTGGGCCTCGTTTCTTCCTAAGGTGGTTTCTTTCTTTCCCCGTATCCAGGACATTGTTGCATCTTTTATCCCTCTGTCCTGCTCCAGTTCATCCCAAAGAGATCTCTCTGCACTGTTTGGATGTGGTATGCCCTGTTAAAATTAACCCCACAGCTACCTCTTCTTTCAGACAGACTGACTGTCTTTTCTCATTCCTGAAGTTCTCCGTAAGGGACAGCCTGCCACACGTTACAAAATTTCCAGGTGGCTTAGGCATCATTCAAGTTTACCAACTTAAAAGGCAAGGTTCCAACTTTTCATGTCAAGACACACTACATTAGATCAGTCGGCTCCTCTTGGTCTTTTCTGCATCGGGCATCTGTTTCTCAGATTTACAAGGCTGCCATCTGCTCTTCTGTTCCCACGTTTGTTAAGTTTTACCAGGTAGATGTTCAGGCCTCATCTGATGCCAGTTTAGGATCTGAGGTCTTTCAGGCAGTTCTGTAAGTTTCTTCTAGTCCCATCGGTTAACATGTTTGTTGTGGGGTTAGGGTTTGTTTGCTGTGTTGCCCACTCCTTTTTTTGGATGTGCCAGTTGTCTCAGAATTTCTTCTACCCTGTGTCCTATCATGAACAATTAAGAAAACCAGATTTTTTACTTATAAATTCCTTTCTAGGAGTTATTTAAAGAACACAGGGCCCACCCCTCTGTCCTATGACCCACACATACTATTGCTTTACATAAAACCAAAGGATGGTGGGAGCATGAGGGGTTATACATGGCTGACTAACCGCTTTGTTGAACTTTCTAGAAAAGGTCAAAAATCCTTTATTTTCTAACTATGCAGAAATCGTTTAAAACACTAACAGACACTGAAAAGGTTGTGTCTGCCAAGCTAATCACATTCACATGCATATCAAATAGCTTTTCTTTTAACACAATAGAAATCTGTCTTTCCCTTTTTCACAACTATTCACATTGCTTTGTCCTGGTTATGTTTCTATCAAACTATGTGGAGAGAAAGAGAAAGCAGTACTGAACACCATGCCACCCTCATTTCCACCAAACTTGGCAAGTTGGTAGCAAATGCGGTCACATTGCAATCTTAGAAGTCATAAACTGTCTGGAGAGCAGAGCAGTTTGAGGAATACACATCTGTGAAACTGGGGTTAGTGACCTATATTGACCTAGAGCTGAACTTTCATACGACTCAAATGTCCATCTTTAATTCATATTTCATAACTCCTACGGTATTGGAGTTACCTTCCTAAGAAGTGGCCTCAGTAGTGTAGAAGAAGATACTACTCAGACACCAAGACGCATTAGACCTCCTAAGAGAAATATACATCAGAGCTATGCCATACTTGATATCTACCAACTCATAATTCCATTCTGCTAAATAATATTCAGGTTTTCGTATTGCTAAAACTTGTCATATGGAAATACAGATGTATCCAGGATAGTTGGCATTGAGAGTGTGTCTGCTGGGCATAAAAAAAAACACTCCAGCACACTTACTAGACCACCCCCCCCCCCCTTCTCCCCCAGACCCTTTGATTGGGTGGTGTTAGCTCTGCAACACCCTTTCAGGGTACAAGAAAAAGCTGCTGCATTTGGCAGTTGGGACTCTTGTTTTACAATCAAAACTACTAAGGATACTGATGGTCACTTTCTGAGGACCAGTGACTTTTGCAAACTTTAGATTTGACTCTGCAAGTAATTTAAGCTCTTAGCCAAAGAAAAGGTGGACTTCACCTAAGTATTTTTTCAGTCATAAAACCCTTTAAATTTACTGTTGCTTATATCTTTTTTTTATTATCTTTCCAGTGCTTATTTATTGGACACATTTTCTTCTCTTTTCATTAAAATTATATTTAAAATTGCAAAGTCGAATATCTAAATAATCCAACTAGAAATGAGGAAGTTTGCCTCTTTAAGGAGACCACCAGATAGTTAACTCTGTTACTTTCCTGTCTGGTCGTGGCAGCACGTAACAGATATGTTTTTAAAGGTCAGAATTGCAACAATGGATGCTGTGAACAGCACGTGTTTCCATGAAAGCATGTGGAGGTGGCTGCCGTGTGCGTGAGTCTAAAGTGGTACCGGCTTAGTTAACCTGCCCCCCCCCCTGTCTGCTGGTTCTTAGATTGTTGTCCTATGAGGTGGAAAATCTCTGCACAGGGAGAGACTGAGTGCATAATCATTACACTGAACCTGACTAGTTTTTCCAATAAAAATGACCTCTGAGCAGTTATAAAAAGCAACGTTATTGCAAGTATGTGTTTAAAACAAAAAAACATTACGTATATCTTTAAATGCAGCTAATATAGGCTCCTGACTGTGTCTTAGTAGCACCTACAGAGGCAAAGGGAGAGGCAGCACCAGGGTCATTTGGGTTCTGCTACAATGCACATGTGCAGAGAGTGGTATAGTAGTGCTGGCAGAGAGATGACCTCACCGGTCTACTGCTGCTGCTTCAATGTCTAATCTGTAGGCTGGGAATGTATTCTTGATCAAGCTGTACTGCTGCTGCAGTGGGGATCATGGACTATGCTGTGGGGCAAGGGTTATCAGGGTCACAAAACTGGCTGCACAGAATTGTAAATCCTTTGGTTCCCATATATATGTATTTCAACTCTGTATGCAGCTGCTTAGCTGGAGCTTAGCTTTAAGTGCACCATGTAAACGGTTAAGAGACAATTTAAAACTATAAAAAAAAATGAATCTCTTGTCTATATTTTAAGCACTTTATCATGAATATTTATGTCTACTTTTTTTTCACAGATTCTCAGAAACTTCAACCTGCCAGCCAGTTAGAATTACCAGACAGCAACCAGGATCTTGAATGGATGAAAGACTTGGGCCTGTCCCTCACCCTCCCCAGCGGAGCACAACTGCAGCTAAACGCTGTCCCTGCAGGAATTGTAGAAAAAGTCTCCCTCTTCTTCTGCTGTAGCCATTGTGGCAAGATATTCTGGGAGGGCTCTCACTTTGGTCGGGTAGTGGCCCAGTTCAAGGAGGTCCTGCAAGATCATGGAGAGTGTTTTTACCAGTCTACTAGTCAGGGTCTCTGAATGGACTACGCTGGGACCAGATCTGTCAAATCATTTGTAAAATACTTGCATTGACAAACAGTGGAATGCCGTGATTATACACTTAATTTGTTCAAAGGAAACCCTACACTTTGGTGAATAACGTATATGTAGCCAAAGCTTTTATTTTTTCTATTGGATAGAGTATAAACAGGGGCTGAATCTCCCCAGCAGGGTCACAGACTCCAATAAAACCCTGTCCCTAACCCTTCTCCACTCTATCCAAACGTTTTGGGAATAAATATACTTTAATGGAGAGTCTTCCACTATAAACCATGGGAAGTAGTTAGTACAAAAGAGAGTGATAACACAGAATTACATTATAATCATAACGCCAACAAAAAAGAACATTTGCAGCGGATGGGACCT